AAAAAAAAAAAAGAGATGAGTTTCTTGCCATTAGATGAATTAGATTGGGAAGATCTTGAGATGTTGGAGGGTTTGGAAAGAGAACTCACACCATGGGAGAAAACATATCTAGATGAGATTCATGAGCGAAGGAACATAGAAGAATACGAGCGACGACTCGTAAGAGCCCGAGAAGCAATGGTGGTCGAGGTCCAAAACAACGGTGATGATGGTGCGCTAAATTTTCTAATCCTTGAGGACAAGGAAAGTCTCGAAGAGGAGGGGAATGATATAGAAGTGGTCATCAACCCAAGCGAGTCAGAGGATGAGAATGGCGACGATCTCAACATATGGTTGGAAAACATGCTAGAGGAGCCATCAAGTCCAATATATCGACCTTCTTGTGTAAGAGATTGGCCAAAAGGATGCGGTCTGAAGTCAAAGGTCAAGTCTAGGAAGTACAAGGCCAAGTGTAACACCCCACTTTGATTTTACAGAAATTCCGAATTTTCCCCAAACAAAACCAGTATAAATTTTTTTTTTTTCAAAATCATTTTCAAAAACTTAGTGGGTGTTAACTCACATTTTTCATATCCCAAGTCTTATCTGGGCCTACGGGGATTCATTACCCAGTTTTCGCAATCGGCGTTCATTAACCAACATCAACTCATGAAATAAATAACAACCAGGGTTCATAAGATTTCAAAACCAACACACAAGGTTCGAAAATAGTTTGCACAAACATGACGTGCAACATACTTATTCAAGTTCAACGGAAGCAATAAAATGCATAAGTAAATAGACCGACCCAACTCGTCCCTTCCTCGTCACCCGGCTGTCACTTAACCTGCATCGGTAAAGAGCAGGTGGGGGTGAGCACAAGATGAAAATAGTGCTCACTACTATGCACATAAACAATATATGACAATGTATGGGCGCAGCATGAATATAAGATAATTACATATTGTCTCATCTCCTATCAAAATCACAACAACCACATTACTCCTGTGCACATCTATCGCTAGCCGCAGAACGGGGATTCATTACCCGAAGGCGGGAGTACATGCCACGCTACGGACACGGCCTTCCATATGGGCTTACGTACCTCGCAAGGGCACGGCCATATCAGGACTTAAGGAGACTTGCCTCGCAAGGGCAACCGTATTACATCGACGGGGACAACCGTACCGACGGCCGTAACAGCTCACATCGATAGGCTACATATTTCATATTCATACTTAGATCATACCGTAAATAAAACATTCATCATTCATGGCATAGATGATTTTAGATTAGAACCCACCTGGTGCAGCAAGGAAATCAGCACAATCAAGGGTAGGCAGCGAGCACGGCTCGTCAAACACCTACAACAGATATTATACTAAGATCAACACTTTTCACCTTAGAGGAACAATCACAAGCATACATTGATCGAACTTGATTCAACCAAGTAGTTCGTGAAGTTCTGTGGGTATTGGAACACTTGGACTCGACTCGACCAATTAAGAGTAAATACACCAATTCAAGAAGGTCGGGGAACCTAATGAGTTAAGTTCTAAAAATTTAACATAAAATCCATCTCACTGGACTTAACAAAACCACCAAGTTTCAGCCCCAAACTCGTTATACATAAATTTTAAAAATTCAAACGCAATTTCAACATAAACGAGCATAAAATCCGAAGCCTGACCTAATAAATGAATTTGTACTTGAAATTTTAACTTGAGCAACTACATCAGGTAAAGACCAACATATAAAAATTCCAGCTATTAACATAAAATACACGAATTATGAAAATTCATACGGTTTTCTGCAGTTTTAGAATTATAACTAAAACTGAACCAATTCGAACTCCGAAAATTCCAATCTTTTATAGCATGAAACTATACATAAAACAAGCACCTCAGCCAAAAATCAGAATTTTTGAGCAACTAACCAATTTATGATAATTAA